CCAGCCAGTCCCCGAGCGGCGAATCCCTGCCCCCCCCCACTTCCCAGTTCCTAAACTAGATGGGACGTCCCATGGTATGGAATACCCCGTTGGCCAGTTTGGGTCAGCTGCCCTGGCTCTGTCCTGTGCCAGCTTCTTGTGCCCCTCCAGCCTTCTCACTGGCTGGGCATGAGAAGCTGAAAAATCCTTGACTTTAGTCTAAACACTACTTAGCAACAACTGAAAACATCAGTGTTATCAACATTCTTTGCATACTGAACTCAAAACACAGCACTGTACCAGCTACTAGGAAGACAGTTAACTCTATCCTGGCTGAAACCAGGACAGTAACATTCATGGCAAAAGTTTCCCCAAAACAGTCTAACTTTCCCTAACTCAGGTGACTGTCCCCAGCTCCCTACCATCTTGCCTAGATCACCAATGGATCAGTGTAGTTGTAAAATTTCATCTAATTTGAAATTGAACTCTTCCATATCAGTGAAGCTGAAGCCTACGAAGGCTTTAAAAGGTGCTTAGCTGAAGAGAGTGGAGACACTTAAATTTGAATAGTAAGCTCCCAGGCCATACCAGACACTGCCCAGTGCAGTTTTTGGTATTCTCCATTCATGGTTACCCTCTCAAGCTTGAAAGCGCTACTCAAAGTACACAAAACACTGTACAAGCATTACAGCAAAAAAGGTCCACCTTCCCGAGAAGGACCACCTATGCAGTTTCTCAAGTTGACAGAAGGCAAGAAACTCAGAATTCCTGATAATTTTGTGCAAGCTCCAGCCCCAGCCTGAGTTACAAGGCATTGCTCTTCAGTGTAAGATTTCCTGGCTCTGTGTTTACTGGTTCAAGTGAATATCCCCAAACAAAACATTGTATTTGTCTTTAACCAGTATCTCCTGCTAGTGATGCTGCTGGACTGTAAGCAAGGCCAGATGCAATTTACATGCCTCCATTTTTGTAACAGACTATTCAAGCACAGTTTTAATTTGATGCTCTTTATTATGATATCCAGGAAAACAATAACAAAGTGATTGCTTATTACAGCTTCCACAGACTGGGGCTCCAGGCCTAATTGTCCTGGGTACACGCACGCGCGCGCACACACACACACACACACAGAGAAGACAACCCTTGCCACAAAGAACTTACAATCTAAATAAAGAAAACAAAGATTATGATTAATCAAGAAACAAACAGGAGGAATCACCTGTGTGAGAATACAGGATAGTCTTGAACTCCAGACTAGAAGTCAAGCCATGAGTTGAAATTCCTACCCCGTTACAGTATTCTTATCTCCATGGGCTGAATTTTCATCTGTTAATCGCAACGCAAGATACATTTTTCAACATTTATAACCGACATAAGGAGACACAAAGCTGAAGTTCTAGACCATAATTTGTCAAGTTGTATACAGCAAAACTACAGTCTAGAGATTCAGATATCTTAAGTGCCCAGTTTCCTAAATGAGAAAGGCAGTAATAGTGAACTGCAATATGGAAAACAAAACCATCCAGGAACACAAATTTCTGCTAAACCAGTCAACACTTACATTTTTTCACTTCAGTATATCAAATCGCCTAACATGCTTGCATTTGGAATGAAGAAGTGACAACTGAGTTGTGCTGCATGACAATGCCTGACCTTTAATGTTAACCACAATAAATAAGGAAAGCATGAATACTGAAAAAGCTATCAAATTATAAAGCTACACTTCAGCTGTTCTGATTCTGCAAAAAGTTTCAAACACAAAAAAAGAAAAAGGAGTTGTCATTTCTGGCACTTGCATCACAGATTTACCATTCTTGAGTCAGATAAAAGTAAAGTATTTGCAGAAACCTAAAATAAAAGTGACAGGAAGCACAGAAAGAGATCAAGAGCACGTGTATTGGATTCAAAACTAGGTAGCATGTTTTATTTTTTTTAAACCTGAAATAAGAGTTGTTGCCTTTTGTCTTGTCAACATCAAAAGAACTTCTCTAAAAGGCAGAAAGAAGCCATTGCAGCTGCAGCCCAGCACTCCTCATCAATCATTCACAGAAGGGGAACGGATGGTTGTAGATGCTAATAGCAGTTCCATTTCACCGACAGAAAGGCACCTGCTCTCTGGATGTGAGCTATATCCAAACACTACATTGCAATAAGAGTTGTATCGTAATGTATTCATCCTAGAGTTTCAGCTCCCATTAAGTGGATTCTGATGACACTTGGCATATGGATGCACTTACTTCTTGCACGTCTGATCCAGAAACACTCCAACACTACTTCTATTTTAGTTCTGAAGAGCATGCCAAATTCCTTAATGTGTACAGAACTAGGCTTATCAGATCCTGAACTGAGTAGTTTGGGGAGCAATGAGAAGATGGGATAACCATCAGACACCCACCACAACAACCTACAGTATAAAAAAAAAAAAACCAAACAAAAACCAAGCATAGGCTAATCAGTGCTCTAAAGATAATCCACAACTAACAACATGAGAAATTCAGATATGATGAACAGATGATAACCAATGTCAGTCCTTTGAAGAGTCTTATTCTTTTTAAAGGATCTCCTAAATTTTCCCCAAGACTTAATTTTGTAGGACATTCTTACACTCTGCACAAAAAGTAACCCAAGTATTTGCATACCAAGATGACTATTACTACAGCCTCCAGGCATTAAACCACAGTCCCCTGGAACGCAGTATCTCTGCATGCAGGCTCTCATCGGCCTGTAAACGTTACAAATACCACGACCATCTCTACTTCGTGTTCAAGCGCCTTCAATGCTGACATTTTCCACAGAGAACAATTAGAACAGCAATGACCAACACTGCATAGGGAGCCTATTGAAGCTGCCAGTCTCCATCTTCTACAACACAGGCCCAAAGGGCTGAGTCACAAATGGAACCAAACCCAAGTATGACCTAGCCATCAGCTGGTGAACTTCCTGAAAACAGAAAAACAAAATAAGAGACACCAAGCAACCCTCTCCTCCACGTACCGAGACAGGCATACAGTGCAATTCTTACAAAACTCTCTGGAAGACCTACTTCAGTGCATAAAGGGGTTGTGTGGAAAAAAAAAAAGCCACACCAAAAAAGCCGTAGTTTCTTGGCTGTTAAGGAAAGTAATCTTGGTTTTTTGATCCAAGAGAAACTACATTTTCAGAATTCCTATTTCTACAACATCAGTATCATCTTGCACTGCTTGGAAACCCCAAAACTATGACAGATAAAAGGCATCTCAGTACAGTAAAGCACATTCAGTATTTCCCCTTCCCCAACAATATCTGACAAGAATCCACTAACACTTAAACAGTTTGGCATGTAGAAGCTATCAGAGAGACCAGCTCCCTTCTGGTATTGATGACTGGAAGCCCTTCAGTGGTCTCCCAGCTCATACTGTAATCTAGTGTAATTTTCAACCAAATGTGCAGTTGAAAGGGGTAGCTGCCTTAGAGCTTAATTCACCTTTTCCCCTCCATCTTTTCTTCTCACTTATACACAAATGCTCATGTACCTCCAGGATTACTCTTGGGCAAGTAATCCAGCAGAAAAACAAGTAATCAAACAAGCCAGTTTTCAGATGCACCAGCTCCCTGATCTAGCTCACCATGCAACCAAGAAGGCTTGTGCTAGACAATGCAAGGGACAGAACCCCAATTTTGGCAGCAACCTACATTACTTTCAGCTTAGCATGACCATAAACATGCTCTCTTCCCTTTAATATCAAGTCTTTCCCCCAACAAAATCACCTCAAGTGCAGTTAGTCAGAAATCTGCAAGGAACAAAAGGACTGCAGATGTCTATTAACCCCTCTAACAGACGTCCGATGACTTGTACCAAAGCACCACACTGCTTATTACAATTCTGGGTAATGTAACTCCATAAACACAACTAAAAATTTCATGAAAAAAGTATTTAGAAAAATATCAAATGCTTACCAGTAACTACTGATTTTTCTGAATGCGTTATCCCAACATATTCATTTACTTTCAGCATATTCTCGTGTCAGCAGAAATAGCCTATGCATTTTCTCTGCACAGCAAATCCCTTGATCATTCCTAAGTTTTGGCCTGGCATCACCCAAAAAGCAGTATTTCCAAAGAGCCACAGTCATGAGTAATTCACGCAGCAGAAATCAATCTTTGCAACTAGTCAAAAGGAGAAAGTGTCCAGATAAAAACAAAAACTCTGAAAATTAATTTCAGCTGCTCTGCATTCCTTGTTTGTACTTTAAAGTTACATATAATTACTTAGTAAAATACTGGTTTTGATAGTAGATTCTGGCACATAAACCAAACATAGATGGGGGGGAGGGAGAAAGGCTTGAAATCATCTGTACAAGTCTTGAAAAGTTCTGACAGGATGGGGCAGGGAAGAGGGGTTTTAAGAAAACAAACAAACCAACCCAACAAACCTTACCCACAGTCTGTATGAATTACTCAATTCGAATCCATCTACACAGACAAAGCCTTCTCTTTGTGGGACCTGGTAACTGACCAGGATAAATTACTACAGCCTAAGCAAAAATTATTTTATTAGGCATAGGAATACAGCAATGAGCTCTTCAGTCATTTCCATTTCTGATTTTCCTGCTTCCATAATTAAGAAAACACGACTAGACAACTAATCTTCTTCCAGCTTACTGAATCCCAGATTACAAACAAAGAGCCAAAATGCAGCAACATTTGAACATCAGTTTTAAGCAATTCAAAAGTTATCCAGGCAAACAATAATCTTATGCCAAAACAAGTAATATCAAACTGGAAATAGAAGTCTCAAAATCTTCTAAATTCATGGGGGTTTCCACCCCAAGGCAGAAAAATAACAAATTACTGCTTTTGCCTCATTCAAAATGATAAATATGTATTTTTACTTATGACACAAGAAACAAAAGATACTGGCTTCCAATACTCTATCCAGATTCTAGAACAATTGAAATTATTCTGTTACTTGGCAGAAAGCAACAACTCCTATAAGGCAAGGATGAAGATCAAGCCATTGTGAAAACAAAAGTGCTTTTAAAAAAAGTCCAAAGGCGAAGAATGTCCATAAGGCCAAAAGGGGACAAAAAGCAATGTTAGTTTCTTTACTGACATTAGCAAGCAAGAATATACTCTTCTGAAGTTTTTGGAAGTGAACCTGAAGTTTACATTTCAAGACTACTGCACCAAAGAATGAGGTTTACAAGAAAGTGTTTGCCTTGGGGAACAACTATTACAATCCTCAGACTCCTGTAAGTCTTAAAGATCTCAAGAAGTACCTTAAATGTTCCCTTCATAATTTGTTCCTCCACCCCTTATGATCTTGACAGCCCCAGTACAACCAGGTATCACAAACAAACTGATTTAGAGTCAAAGTACCAAACTAGAAACTTCAAAAATTTGTCCCTTTTGGCTTAAGGTACAACTTGAGAGCAAGGCACACAGAATCTGTGAAGGTCTTTCTAGAAACATCAGACGTGAAACATGATTTTGTGCAGCGAGTATTCGATGTATGCAATTCCCTCAAAATTTCTGAGTTCCAATTTTCCAGTTTCATGGTCAGATCAGATAGATTCACAGTTTCACCACTTGAGTTTTATTCCTTCAAATCAAGACACGGTATAGCTACTTCCACTGAAGCAGACTGGGCATATTACAGGGTGTGCTGCCCCAGAGTACTCAAAAGTCAAGCACGTTCAAGTTTGTCAAGTCCACTTCAGGAGCTGTGAAGCAAGTACAGGAACTGTGACTGAAATTAGCTGAAACATATAATAAATTATACTGCAATAACTCTAAATAGCACTAAACGATTGAAGAATGGATAGTTACTTGTAGTCAAGATTTTGTACTAGAAACGTTTATTCTGTATAGTAAGCAACTAAACTGTAGAAGATACAGAATGCAGATTTATTATTTTGTTGGGTATAAACTCAACTATAATAACAGGTTTTCATTAAAACTATTTTATTTATCAGCTTGATTGCTCATAATTACTCCTCTCAATCAATAAGCAGTCCAATACTTGAGTTAACTTGAAAGACTAATTTAGCAATTTCTTCTTAAGACTGAATTAAATCTCTAACTCATTCTCTCAAGTGAAATGGCTTGAATTATACCCGTTACAAAAGGGTACAGAGGAAACATTAACTGCATATTAAACTGGAAAATTAACTGGACAAAGCTTCACATTTAATACAATTATGAAAGACAGATAACGGAAAAAATCTTAAATTAAGATTTTTCCAGTTGTGGCAAAGGGCACAATAAATCAATTTTAAGAAGTTGTAGCTTTAAATATTTTTTCATAAAAATATATATAGGAGAAATCAAACTATTTCCTAACAGAGGTGAAACAAAGCAAAACAGTTAAAGGAATGTTTCTCATAACTTGATCCACTTATCTAACAAATTCCCTCTTCACGGAGCATTAATGCCTCCTAAAACAATCACAACAACACATTTTAAGAACCTCCACCCTCTAAAATCAGACAGATAAATTTTCAAAGGTCCAATGCACACTAATTCGCCAAGAAACATACACTTTAAAAGCACAGACAGGAGTTAACAGTGCTACTCAAATCAACTCTTCCTATGACCATACACGCTCCCTTCTAATTTTCAAGTGCTAAAGCTACATCTCAAGAAGGTTTTTTGTTCCTTGTAAGAGATTTCTAACCAACAAACAATAAGACTCTGCAACATTTCCAATTAGTTCAGTTTTGTTTTAATGATATGGGGCAATTCTTAGAGCAGACATTGTGTAGCTAATAACTACAAAATAAAGAGGTTTATTGGTGTGGCCTCACAATCCCAATTTGAACTGTAAATTTGAATCAAGGTAATTAACTGAAAAGCCAGAGTATCTGAAAATGCATACTAAGTTTTTACTTCAATTTTGCAAGACTTCTTGAAGAACTTGGAAAAAGTAAAGTTGGTAGAACAGTATATATCACCAAGATTACAAAAACTGGAAAGAAATAATACATTGCAACAGTGATCCTCAGTAAGTGAGGTTATTTCATCACAATAAATGTTTAAAAAAGTGTCAATGTTATTTAAAAAGTGTTGTATCTCCCCCCCGCCCAAGTATTTGAAGACAGATAAACCTTTTTCCTAGTCAAAATGGCTTTTAAAAAAAGTTTGTCAAAACAACAGCAATAATCAAAAACCATTAACTGTATTTTCTTTAATCCACAACATCTCTAGTGCTGAAGGGCCATCCATGTAAAAAGCAGATTCTTTGGGGACATTAGTCAATTAACTTAATAAAACCCAGTTTTACGAGGATTTATCCTTCCTGCTACGAGGCGAGTCTGCTCCATTTGAGGTCACTGTTCCATTTATTCCATTTTCTAGAAAAAAGAAGAAAACATTTTTCAAACACAATGAGATGCTTTATATTTTATTACATTTTTGTAGGTCCTATACAAACAGTCTTTTAACTTCTTTTCTGATGCATATTCTTTGTTAAACCTCATAATTATCATTCATAATGCAACAGTATAATGAAGTTTTTACAAAGTGCAAAATTTAAAGTTTGCTATGATAAAGTCCAGTTTCCTAACATGGCCAGACCCTGAAATGTGTGCATTATATACATCTACACTGAAAATCAGACCAGCTATCATATTTAGAAGATACTATCTTAAAAAGTAAATACTCAACCTGTAGATGAGACTGCCCTGTGAAATTCTGGAGATACACAGTACATACACAATTCCCTGGTACAGGTCTTTATTGTTTGTCCCACCTATTTAATATTTTAATTCTTGCTAAAATTACACTCCTTCACTTACCTTTACAAGCTTTTCATATATATAGGAAACTTTTATATACACATACATTTTTAAGTATATACTTTAAGATACAGAGTTCACTTATGTTCTGATGAAGATATTTACATAGATAAAATGGACAGCAGTAAAACACTAGTTAGATTTGAGATGAGTATGTGTAAATGGAAAGAGTTCAAGCACAAGACCAGGCTCCAATCTAAGAATACAAAGCAAGAACATGTTACCAGCTGCAATTCTCTACTTCTATCCCACTTCTGGGCCAACTTAAAGGTCTCAAGACTTTTAATCTGTACAGGTACCACAGTAACTATTTGATAGCAAAAGTTTGCCCTAGAACAATGACCCACAATCTATGGATTTATAATGCACACAATTTACAGTAAAATGGAGCAGCATGATACCACTGTGAATTAGAAGTATCCCCTTTATTCAGTGTCACCACAACACAAGGAAGCAGAGATGCTGCCTGACAATAACCATATTTATAAAACAGATTGAAGAGCAGAGTGTACAGCCAGCTAGAATGCTTGCTGCTTAACATCTCTCCTCTGACGTACAGTATCATTCTGACTTAAAGCAATCATTGTGGGTTTTTTGTACCAATAACTGGTTAAATTAATGTTTTCCATCTGCAGATCACCACAGTGTGGCCAATCCACAAAAACAACTGTTGATCTCCCTCTCTCCGCCACTATACCCAAATATGCTCCCATTTATGCAAACAAACAACTAAAAGAAAAGAAAAATCAGAAACACACATGAGGAGGAGACCAGACACAGGCCCAATTAGTCACACAAGAACAGTCAAAGTCTATCCAACATATTTGGTTGTAAATGACACCACCGTTTTAAGCCCACATAAGGTGGTCTTTGGATACTTTTCAAAAACTTTGTATTATTCTTAAATCAAGAAGCTTACAAACAATGAGCTAGATCCAAGCCAGCTAACTGCAATTGTATTTTCTTAAACAGTTAAGTCAAAACAAATATAAGTCAAACAAAGAACAAGAATCAGCCTGTGCCTGGGCACCCCACCTACATCACCAGTAGGATTTTTCTACTGCCATTTCTTGCTTTTGGCATAATCTAGAAGTAACACATTTTATTGTACCCTCACTCCCCCAAATCCATCCAACCATAAAAAAAAGAAATAAAAGAAAAGAAAAGAAAGACTGTTTTCAACAGTTTAATTGCATGTATTACTCTTTCAAATACACTATCTTGCTGCATCCTGTGCAAGTGTTCTAAACAGATAACATTACAGGAATCTTCAAAACAGAAGAATCTGAAATGACACTAACCTTTCAGATTTCACAGTTCTTTTCTTTCCATTTAAAATAAGGTGTAAAATTCTCCAGCCTAACACAGGCATAGCTCAATTATTTTGTGAATTAAACCACAATTCCAATTAACTGACTTTTTCACCATTCGCTTACTACTTGCAAGTCTCCATTGAAGTTGGGTAAAACCCAGCAAATTTACCAAATTACATGAATGAAATAGTTTAAGTTAAAGTTAAACAGCTACTACATTTTTGACTCAGAGATTAAAATGCCATTTAAGTTTATGCTTTAAAAATATCTGTCATAGAAGATTTAAATTAATTCCACAAAAACCATAGTAAGACACAATGAACATGAAGCTCTGATTAAGTAGGACACCTACATAGGAAACTACCTTCACTCAATTTTAAAAAGTCCAACTGGATTTTCTGACAAAAACAAAAAACCCAAACATCACACAAAAGCCAAGTTGTGACAATTACAAATCATCAAAAGGGAGTACAGAAATACTCCCAACCCCATGATTTTAATAAAAAGAGAAACTTGGAAAAAAACCCCAAACCCACTGAATTGATCTCTGACCACAAATCTCAGTTCTCGGTGCAAATGGTCTTCACACATTATGTTCAATATATCAAGAAGTGGAACAGGTTGGCAATACATGACTGATAGCAAAGGATCATGCTGAAATAAGGTTTTGAAAGGACTTAAGCAGTTTCAAAAAAGTGCAGAAGTTACTCAAGCTAGCAAATGAATTGACAGAAGTTTAACTGTTGGTACAACAGAAATACTGAAGTGTGGGGATTTTTTTTTTTTTTTTTTAAATGGAGGACATGATTTTCCTTGGAGGAAAAAGCATTCAGTACATGCCCTTTCCATAAAAAGAGTGTGACATAATCAGTAAGTCAAACCTGGAGTCATTAGTTCATTTCCAAATGCTACATGGGTTTAGAGTAATAAGTAGTTATTATCTCCCCTTAAGAGAAGTATCAAAATTCTACTTTTAGTAACAACAGTCCAACATAAGCCTATTTACTGGATGGATCATCAAACCGTCTCCTTGCCCTAAAACCTCAGAATTTAGTGCCAATGAAAAACAATCTTGAAATTCATTGCAAGGAGAATTTAGAAGTAATTGATTATAACAGATCTAAAAGTGTGTCTGTTCCCTATATACAAGGCAACAAAACATAAGCATGACACATTTTGCTCAAGTAATAAAATTAAACATAATAAAAACCTCATGTTGCATTAACTAAAGAAATGGTAATTCCTTCATTCAGTCAATCAGAAGAGAAAAACCAAACAACTAATATATAGTGATTTTTTAAAATTAACCCCCCTCCCCCAACAGTATTCACCAATACTGTCTTCTGTAACCAAGTCATCTCACTTGCAAGTTAAACAAAATGTTTCTTTAGCAATTATACTAAAAAAATGGCTCTCCATTACCTGGAGTAGTTTTTGAGAAGTCAAGGTAACAGAAAAACTGAAAATACAAACCTCTTTCTTTTCTGGAGGTCTTTCCTTTAGCTGTTACAAACTTCTTTTTCACTGACTGAGGCTGAGAAGAAGAATGCTCTCTCCACCTCCGAAGCTGGAAATTAATGAACTTCCACATCATAAATGCTTGAGCCATGCAGATGGAAGCCAGCACACTGATTCTATAAACAAAACACAGGAAAAGGTTTATCAGTAAGTTTATCTCATTATTCAAATAGAAAAAGAAAGCAGAACATCACCTCAGATAGTTCTTTGTATGTCATAAACTGCCTTTTTATTCAGGTTCCTCAAACACAACAGTGATTCCTTCTAGAGAAGATGAATTTATAAAAGTTCAGTTTTGTTTGGTGTGTTGTTTTTTTTTTTTTCCTGTGTGTGTGAGACTTCCCCCCCTGCCGCCTCCGAGTAACGTCCATTTTCTAAGCCATGCAAAAGTTAGCTCACACAAGGCAACTGGGCTTAGCACAGCTGAACAAAACTAGATATACAGTGAGAGTGAAGTCTTTGCCCCTCCATCAAAACTGGGAAGTACTAGATTTCTTTCCTGCTTTCTCCTACCTCGGTATTACTCTCAAGGTACCACATATTAACAGCTGAAAATGGTTTAAGAGAGTCTTGCAGTTCCGAGTATCAATTCTGCAGGGTAATGCTGATTTGTCCATGTTTTAATAACTTCCTTTTCTGGATTTAATTCATAAAAAGGCCAGGTGGTTGGCTGAACATTCTGTATCACATAGCAGCGACAGGAGCCATAATAAAGGCAGAGAAAGAGGTAGGAATCTTCAACCAGGACTAAAGATGCTCTGGGCATAACACTTTGACCTCTATAGATAACCTCACTGCAATTATATCTAGAATTCAGTTCACTTACTCTATAACATTTTAAAGTAATCTCTATAATTGGACATCCCTTTTAATTCTGTTTTTTTTTCTGGCAAAACCCCCCAAGTAACCAGTTACAGGTTTCTCAGCCGTAGACTGTAAATTCCTCAATTAATTTCACTGTGCCTTACAAGTTTGTTATAGAAGTTATTCTTACTGATCCCATTGGTTGCATGAAAACACCTAACCATTCAGAATTACTAGCATTAACACCACATCACTTATACAGTGTATTTAACACAGGTTTACAGCTCATGCTTAAGAACCGTTTCAAGTTTACTATACCTAACAGCCAGGATATTAAAGTTTCCAGTACTGAAATTCAGCTGCTGATCTTCTGCTCTTGCCAGTCCAAAGCCAAAAGTGAGGACTGAGAGAATCAAGGTGAGAAGCCTTCCCAAAACAAAAAGAACTGCCCACAGTGAAAATCTACAAAGAAAAACGCCACAAACACTAAGTAAATTTTCTGTTCACAACATAGTACTAACAATGCAAATGGTTACTCTTCATCATGTGAATTAGTATGAAATTTAAGAACTTACCTAAACTCATTATTTTGCACCTATCCTAAACTAGTCTTGTATTTCTAGGACTCAGAGAAGACAAAAAGCAAAAAAAAAAAGCCCTGCCTCACAATCTTTTTTTACAAACCAAAAGTATGTTCTGAAAACTAATTTCAGGTCAAAGGAAAATGTTTTCCATTACTATTAGAACATAAGCATGTTATTAGTTTCTATAGAACTGGCTATATTAGCAACCTATGCTGCTCCTTTCTCTACAAAATTTTTGTAAATATTAGTACATAGTGTAATATTTTATTTCATTTTACACTACTACTAACACTTACTTAAATAGGCGAATAAGGTAAAAAAAATAGGTTTAGAGATACAAATACTAAAACTAGTCTGGAGAACTGTGGCTTCTAAGGAAACACTGTTTGAACTTCCTTGTAATTTTGGTTTCTGGTTAGTTAAATGCACAAGGCTTTGAGACAGAAATCACATGAATTTAAAAGATAAAGACTACTTACCCTTTCTGGTATCTTTCATCACTGAAGTAGAAAAGACGAGATATGTGGAAAAGAAATTCAACGAAGTAATGCAATACCAGAAGAACAAGTCCAAGATGGGTCAGACTATCAAAACAAATAAAACAAATATTCAGACATTTTGTTAGATGTTTAAGACAGAGAACGAAGCCAGCAAAAGTTTACCATTCACTTACTTCAGGAGATATGCTCCAGCAATATGAAAAAGATAAAGTCCAATATAGATGATCTGGCGAAAGATATCTTCCTATTAGGAAGAAAAAAGTAATTATGCATTATACACAGTGTTATACATTATTGCAAACTATTCCATAGTCTTGGAAATTCTTCTTGTTTTATCAGCTACCTTTAACACGGCACTGAATTACTCAGCCTAGATCATCTAATTCCTCACATAACTTAGTGCTTACTTACCACTAATATTCGGTATCTCACACATACGCTGTTGTGAGAAAATGCATCAATCGTCAAAAAGATGCTTTTTAAAAGGGCCTGGTTTTATTTGATATGACTACTGTGAATTTGTAATACCTATTACAATACTTATTTGGTATGTATTACTGTATCATCGGCTAACTTCCTACAGTTCCATGGTGTTTGCTGCCCATCAGATTCTGTCAGATTGCTACAGAAATAAAATAACAGTCTATGAACCAAAATGAAAAGGTTTCCAAGTGTTGACATCTATTTTAAAAATTCAAGATCATCCAAGATTCTGGCACACTGTTGCTGCCAAATACGAAGAATAATGTTATTAACCAGTCATGCTAAGCCACATGGTCACCCTTCCAAGTTAGGTTTTAGCCAGCCCCATTAAATTGAACACTTCATAGAGACAAAATAATGAAGAGGAAGAGACATGAATTGAAGTATAGACACACAGCACATGGAAAGCAGAAGGTGCCATCTGTGATCAGAAGAATCACTAAAGTATGCTAGATCACAATAAAAATCTGTCTTGAAGTGGTATGCAGAGTGCATTCAGTTATGCTTAAGAAACTCCTACTTTTCAGAAAGATTCCCTAAACTTCAAGCAAGGTGATTCAGCTTTATCTTGTATACATGTAATTAAAAAAAAGTCTAAAAAATTAATTTTGTAAGATCTATGCTATGTTATGCAATACTCCATCTCAAAGCCAACAAAAGCACAGGATCAAACACTTGTTGCAACAGCAAACACCACACACATACACAAAGAGCAAGAGAACAGAGAGACACCTACTCTAAATGATCTGAAAGAAAACAAAAAATGAGTTCTTTCAGACAAATTAGAGAATAGTCAGTACAAATGCTCAGTTTCTCCAAGTACTATCAGGACGAGCCTTTTGCACTTTATCTTCAGAACTGAGGTAATGTTTAAAGTCCATACTACCTGCTTAGACAAAACTGTGAAGAGACTGAAGGCCTACTGGAATAATGCAGGTGGAGGTATACACTACTATACAGAAAGCTGAGTTAAGAACCTTTTCTTGTTCACATTAGCAGTACAGACAACTAGACCTGAGTAAAAGAAGCCAGTTCCTTCTCAAGAGAAGGAATAAGGCAGAGAAGGCAAGATGGCAGAGGTTAAACTGTGGTGAAAGAAATATCAACTATGAACTTGCTAAAACAAATGAACTACCATTCTTAAAAAATGCAAAAGTCAGAGGCCAAAATTCCAAGCAGTAACTGACCCAGTGTAACACTGCTATTCAATATACAGCACTTCTGCCACTTGTGGCAGCTTTCTTGATGTTATGTTAAAAAAACCTCCACACTTGGATATGAAGTGAAATTCAAGAGATATCACTAGCACAATATGGGAACACCAGCTGCAGTGTAGCTGCAAAACATCAGTGTTTATACTGTGTCTCATCAGCATGAAAACAAAGCATCTCAACTATTTTCCCAAGCCTCTTCTAGGCTCTTGAACAAAGACCTACAGTTACATAACACATACGTTTCATTTGCTTGAATAAAGCAGAACTTTGGCAGCAGAGACCAGTCTACTCACAGAGTAACAACAGAATCATAGAATGGGTTGGAAGGGACCTTTATAGATCACCTAGTCCAATCCCCCTGCCATGGGCAGGGACATCTTTCACTAGATCAGGTTGCTCAAAGCCACATCCAACCTAGCCTTGAACACTCCCAATGATGGGGCATCCATGGCTTCCCTGGGCAACCTGTTCCAGTGCCTCGCCACCCTCATCAAAGAATTTCTTCCCATCTAATCTAAATCTACCCTCTTTCAGATTAGAGTCACTGCCCCTTGTCCTGCCACTACAGGCCCTGAGAAAAAGCCTTTCTCCCTCTTTCTTATAAGCTACCTTCAAATACTGAGAAGCAGCAATAAGGTCTTCCCAAAGCCTTCTTTTCTGCAGGCTGAAAAACCCCAACTCTTTCAGCCTGTCTTCATAGGAGGGGTGTTCCAGCCCTCTGATCATTTTTGTGGCCCTCCTCTGGACCCACTCCAACAGATCCATACCTTTCTTGTGCTGGGGACTCCAGAGCTGGATTCAGTACTCCAGGTGGGGTCTCACCAGCGCAGAGTAGGGGGGCAAAATCACCTCCCTCAACCTGCTGGCCACACTTCTTTTGATGCGGCCCAGGACACAGTTGGCTTTCTGGGCTGTGAGCCCACATTGCTGGCTCATGTCCAATTTTTCATTCTCCAGTACCCACAAGTACTTCTCTGCAGGGTTGCTCTCAACCCCTTCAATCCCCAGCCTGTACTGATGTTGGGGATGCCCATGACCCAGGTGCAGGACCTTGCACCTGGCCTTGTAGAACTTCATGAGGTTCACAAAGGTCCAGCCCTCAAGCCTGTCAGGATCCCTCTGGACTGCATCCCTTTCCTCAAGCAAATCAATTGCACCACTCAGCTTGGTGTCATCTGCAAACTTGCTGAGGGTGTACTCAATTCCACTGTGTATGTCATTGATGAAGCTATTAAATAGAATTGGTCCCAGTACAGACCCTTGAAGAACACCACTTGCTACTGGTTTCCACTTGGATGTTGGGGCACTGACTTTAACTCTTTGGAAGCAGCCATCCAGCCAGTTCCTTATCCATCTAACAGCCCATCCATCAAATTCATCTCTCGAAGTTAGAGGTAAGAATGCTGTGGGGGACCATATCAAAAGCCTTAACAGAAGTTCAGGTAGATGACATTAGTAGCTCTTCCCTCATCCACTGATGCAGTCACTCCACTGTAGAAGGCCACTAAATTAGTCAAGCATGATTTGCCCTTGGTGAAGCCATGAAGAGTTTAAAACAAAAAAGTTTAAGAAGGAAACTGCATATGCAAGATGAGCCTGAGCAAAAACATGCAAAGAGACTACTTAAATTGGTCCAGGAAGGCAAAAAGTGTGCTACAAAAAATCTACAGTAAACTCAGTGTTTTGAGAACCCCAACAGAGGGTTAGGGGGAAAAGGATGGTGTTAAAAATTGAGCACTGAAAGAAATCTCAATACACAACTAACCAGAACTTCTGCTGAGGACAGTAGCATTTAAATCAAATCCCAGAGTTTAATATTCCCTGGATTTATGAAATTATTCACTGCTTATATTCTACACCTGTATGATGATTCATGAAGCAACTGTGATTTCAGTGAGACTATTCAGACTACTAATTACAAGAAACAAAAAAAAAAAAAAAAAGAGTTTGAAAAGAAAATCTCACATTCATTTGTTCAAGGGAAAATTCTTTTAGTAGATGAGAAAAGTGATTTTACTGCAATTAGAAATACAGGATTTAACTGAAAAGGAAAAAAAAAAAAAAATCTATCTTCTCACATGGACATTTGAGCACCCAACATTCCATCAGGAAAAGTGGGTAACACAAGTAAGAACAGGGTAGGAAATCTAGGGCAATACATTACTCTGGAAGTCCAAAAGAAATTCACTATTCCATTGTTCAAGTTGCTTGCTTTAGAGTTCTTTCAATTTACATTTTGAACTTACTTTTTTAGTTTTCTGGAAGTACAATTCTGGAAAAGCATGAAACCAGTATGCCAACTGTAAGATGTAGAAAAACTTCATTTGAAACCTGTACAATACAACAAAAATTGAAGAATATTAGTTTTCATTAATGAACTTAAAACATTTCAGAAGCTTTCTAGTGAACACATTTAATCATTGTCTCTAAAGAAAGAAAAATATGGATCCTTCCTGCCAGCCAACTAAAAAGTAAGATTTTTTTTAAAAACCAATATCATTAAGATAAAGCTTGCAAAAACTTAATTCTTTAAATAACAGACTACAGAGAGAGAAGTATGTGTGCTACAAATTGATAAGAGAATCAAGTTCCTCCATAAATATGAGCAAAAATACAGTAATGACCAATATAGTTTTACAGACTACATATTCTACAGATTGTATGTGACACACCCTAAGTTTAAAACACTCCCTCCTCTTCCCAACAATCCTCTAAGGAAGAGGCCTTACGGAATCAGAGTGTGCGGATAGTCCCTCCACAGAGAGGTTGGATCTGATATATAGTTCTCCTAAAAAAAAACAAACAAAAAAACCAATAAACTCTCAGAGATGTTACTTCCTAGTCAGACATAATGAATGAAGATATATACATACACGTATTTAAGTATATGCGCATGTGTACATACAAACATGCACACATCTATACACACAGGTAAAAGCTGCAGATCAATATATTTCCTTTAAAAAACCCAAACAAACCGCAAAACCAAAAGACAGCTGTATTGGCTTAGAAAAATAAAAAGCAACCAAATAAACCAAGTGCTTATTCAAGATAGAGTGTCCTTATGAGATGGAGGTTATTTCAGCATCACTACAGCCATAAGTCTTCCCTTGTAAACTGCTGATAAACTTTGAGCTTAACTAAGAGAAGGAAAGTTTTTTCAGGAGTCATTATGTTAAGGAGAAAAAAACCCAACCAACCAAAAAAATCATACTCTTCCCCTTTTTTGAAACTAAGCTCATACACATCCAGCCACTAGCAAAGAGTATGTCACCTGAAAGCACACACTTACCTGACCCTACAGCAATCTGTCCATACACCCATTCTCTAAGCTGCCAAAATGCTATGTATGGTGCTTTTAAAACATTTATTTTATGCTAATAAGCCAACACAGAAAACTACAGAAAATGAAGTACCATAATAGAGTTAAAAAGTTTTACCTTATTCGGTTGACAATAAATCAACTCAGACTGAGCAACAGTAACACTACTGGACTTTACAGTCAGTTATGACTACAATCTACACAGAATCCATAAACTTGCCCCCATTTTAATATTAAAACCAGCTAAAACCAGAAAAATAAGCCAAAAACTTATTTAACATCATCATAAATAAGTTCTTGAAATCTCACAATACAAACAGAAGAGAAAAAATACTTACAGAGACAAGAATACTTGTTCCCCAAACACAGGAGAAAAGGTAGAATGCACTAAGTTGCCCAGACTCATTGAACTTGCTATGCTTTGTTTTTGAAAAGTGCATTTTCCTGTTAATTTTCTGAAATGAAAGTCCATTGTTATTTATATGATGTAGTACTTAACATTCACCTGTTAACTGCATTAGAACATCTAAAAGTTTCAATGCATGTTTTAACAGTTAAAAGTAAACTTTTGCATTAAAGCTTTTAAGTTAACAGTCATAAAGTCTAGTTAAAACCTGACAATTTTCTTGATGAAAGGAATTAATGTTTTGTACTTACATCCAGTACGTATTCCTGAATTATAGCATGTATGATTATTGCTACAAGCATGTAAAAGAAAATTGTAGCCAAATCTTTGATGCCATAGTGATAGAGAGAGATTGTTTCTGCAGATTGTTCTTCTAAAAGACAAAGAGAATTAACTGTTAGGCACCAATACAGTTTAATGGCTAATAAGTTTGTTTCTCAAAGTGAAACCTTTCAGACAGAAGTAGTTTGTAGTCAGCTGAACAAATAGAATTCAAATTAAACTGCTATCATGAGCGAGGTCACTAGATTGTTTACAGTCATCTTCTCCATCACATCACAAGCTAAATTTGATTCTGGAAAGATGTACTATAAAAATGAAAACTTAAGTGCACTTAAGAAGCTTACCCAAATGCACTAGAAAGGGAGAATAAAATTATGTTAAACTATCATGTTTAAATTATGTTAAACTATGCTTTGACTAGTAAAGACTGTCACTTGCAAAACCAGAGTAAGAATTAATGTGAACTTATCTACCAGTCAGATGATGTTTTAGCACTAATGATGAATCCAGCAGAACAGAAACATAGTCCCTAACCTAATTAATTAAAACGGAGTTTTACTAAAAATGAAGTCCTTGAAATTTTCTTATTATCTATTCAAACTGACAAATTCATTTACCCTCAGCCTAGAAAGTACAGCATACTAATAATGTCTGAATACACTGCCTCATAACTAACCTCCTGCAAGATACATACCTGTGGCAGGAATGGTAACATTATACTGAAGTGTAACAAAAATGACAGCTGCTTTTGCTGTAATCTGAAAGACAAAAACCAGAAGTGCTATAAGTTCTCACCGAAATAAACTATACTAAACTGAAAACATTTGCCCATAGTTTTAGCATGCTTCCCCAGCACGTTTGTCCCCTCCCATAAAACTGATCAACTTGCCTTATCACACCACTTCATTTGACTTTCCAAAGGCAGAACACATTGCACGATCTCTATAGGTTTGTTTACAGAATACCCAATCTCCTGAATGAAATCTCCTTGAAAATGCTACTTACAAATAGTCTTCTACAACATTAAAATGAAAACACATGCTGCAATTCTTTCTCCTGTTCATACTATATTATTACATTAAGAGAATGTAAAATACCATGTAATCCCTAGACCACGACGCATGCAGCAATGGCTGAGAATAAACTTCATTTAAAACTACTTTTTAATTTGACAAAATTTGAAGGTCAATATCATATTCATAAATCTGTGGGTGATTTGGAAAATGTGGACAGGAAAGGAGAAAAGGCATAAAGAATGGAGAACCATTTCAGGCCAGCTGCATACCAACTCAATACAATTAGCATTCTTTTGACCCTGGGGATCCTTTGGCAAGAAGTGCAAAACAAAAGAAATGAAATTTAGCAGTAGTGGTACTACCCCTTTATGATGGACAGTAAGAAAATGCAGAATGAATGGGGGGGGGGGGAAGTTTGTTCTAAAGGCTTATTTTTTGGGGGTGGGGGTGATACTATAAAACCCCCAATAAATAAGCAAATAAAAGGAGCACAAGTTCTTATCTGTCAATAAGCATACATTAATTTTCAGCTTTAACCCATCTCTGTTGAATCCCAACGTGAATCAACGTGTCTTAACAGAGAGGGAAAAATAACCATGCTTTGCAGTATTTATGATCCGATTGTTTCTCACTGCTGTAAAAAACTAGCACCCCGGTTGCATTTATAGGACTGATGAGAAAAAAACCCAACAAACAAACACCCCTTCCCCCCCAAACCAAACTCCTGTTTGAATCTTGGAAGGATATTTTGAGTATCTGAAGATAATGATTAGGTTACTACCAGCATTTATTATCACACACAAGAAATAAGATTTATTTATTTTTAAAACTAGCGCTTTGTAAACAAGCCCTAGATTTTCTAGGGGTCCCTGAATACACAGTGGACTATTCGCTCCATGTAACTCCAGAGAATCGAACTAGTTTGCCTGAATTAGTGAAGTTGCCTAGGGCTCCCTATTCATCAAGGGAGCCTTCAGAGGACAATTCAAAACTAATGAATTCTGAACTGCCCTTTGAAGGCTCTGTCAGCTACTCACAGTCCTAATTCAGTTGCACAAGTCAGGCAGTATAAACACCTTACCAGACCAACATTAACCACAGCAGGTGATTTCCAAGACCAATCAAAGCATTTAAAAAAGCACAACAATCTTCTCAGCCATACCACATCTGTACCAAAGGCGTACAGCCCTTCTACGCTGGGGTAGAAAACACCCTGGATTAAAAAAACTGGAAACAAAAGACTTCAGCACATCCAATCCCTCCAAGATTTCCAACCCTACCAGTAATACTGTAAATACAGTAAGCCAGAAGTAGACATAAAAGGTAATGGTTTAAGTCCATCTATTTAACCTCAGTCCCCAGAAAACCACCATATAAGGACTGTCTTGGTGATTTTTGATAGTAAACCCAAACATAACAGCTTTCTTGGTCTGCCCCGTTTTTCCTTTTCTTATATACATATATTTTTTTTTTTTTTTTCCTCCTAACTCCACTGGCCTTTAGTGCTGAGCAGTGCCAACAGCTGGATAAAGTTATTCTGAAAGCCATCCACATAATAAGAAGGCCCACAACTCTGAACAAATGGCTAAAATACCGAAAGCCAGGAACATTTAGCCAACAAAAATGGAAGCGTCTTACTTTGACGGGACACCACTAAGCACATTTTGGAAGTCACACAGGTAAATGACCTTTCCGGTTCTCTCAGAAGGTAACCGAGAAAAGCCCAAAAGGCACATTTTAGATCATCTGCCTCCAACGTGGGGGCCTAACGAGAGCGCCTGGCCTACAAGCGCGGCCGAGCAGCAGGGCTTTGCCCTCGGCCAGGCCCGAGAGGCCGAAGGGAGAAGCTCCCTCCGGCCGCTGTCAAACCCGGCCCCATCTCCGACCGGGAGAGGAGGAGGCGGCGGCGGGGGCAACGTCGGCGCCAGCCGAGACACCCGGATCGACCCCCTGTGGGCTAACGGCTCCTCACACCGCCGCAGCGCCGGGAGGCGACGCGCGGCCTCGGGCCCCGCGGACGGCGGCGGCGGGGTCCAGCGGGGGGGAAGGGAACCCGCCGTGCGCCCCCGCCGCCCCGAGCGGGGGCTGCAAGTACACGTCACCGCTTGTTTCCCTTCCCCGCCGCGCCGCCTGACGGGAGCCGTAGTGCCGGCGGGGCCCAGCTGGGCCGCGCACACAAAGAGCGGGGGATCGTCTGTCGCGGCTGGGGCTCGCCCGCCCC